AAGGACCAGTTTGAACGCCTCATGAAGGTGGTGGGCGAAGTCCTTCTCATCGAAGAACTCTTCATCATAATATTGTCTCCACCACCCTTCAAAATTGCCAGAACTCAAAAAATTGAGATTAAAGTCGAACATGGTTAGTACGGTAAAATGCTTGGTAGCGGCATCTTCTGAGTAGTCTGCGTTGTAAAATAACAGCAGTTTCTCTCGAGGATAAATGGGTGAGGGAAGTGACTGGATAATGCCAAATTGTCGAGAGACAATATTTGGTTGATAAGCAATCAAGCTTAATTGATTTTTGGAGCTCTTGAATCTCAATGGCATAATTCTAGGTCGAAGAAACGACTCCTACATGCCCACGTATTCATCGTTCAGTTCTTCCTCCTCAATCGAAGGAAATGGTCTAGTAAACCATTATGGGTCGACTTTTCGACTGGCAAAAGGAGCCATGGTCGAAACAAAACGCTTGCGCTCCGCAAACATCATCACGAAACTTGTGAAAGCCTTTTGAAACTATTGGCTTTCATCAGTAGGAGTCAGCAATGCAAGTCTGGTACCTTCGACCCTCCTGTTAAGGATTTCTGGGGCCGCTTCATTGATCTTATTCTTCTGGGGAAGAAAAGATTCAAAGGTGGCATTGAGCCAAAGTTGGAGAAGCCAGAAAGGGCCAGAGAGCAGCAAGCTTGCCCTATCCCCTATGACTTTGAGTTGAGTCACACCATTGCTGATGGACTCATATAGATTGGCCAAAATCAATTCGGCCAGACAGAAGGGATAACCATGATGAAGTTGTGTCGCGAGTGTGAGCATTTTCTTAGTCACCTGAAGTGACTTGGTGCAGAAGATGAAACAGGATAACCACATAGCCAAAAAAGCTATATGTTCCACCTCCGACACAGTACTGGAGGATTTATCATGGAAGTGGTTGATAAAAATGGTGTAGGTGGGTTTTACAGCTGTAAACCCAATAACATCTTCAGATAGATCCTCAGAATCGAAATAATCGCCAGTCGGTCGAAGACCGGTAATCGCTTCTATGTCGAAGAGGGTCAGGGTCACCATTCCACAGGGAAGATGAAAGGTGAAATGTGTGATATCCCAGAAATATAGCGAAGATACCAACATGAGAGGACAATAAGACAATCCTATCTTCGACAACATCACCGAATCGTAAATTCCCATTTCCTTTCAGACAGAGGTTTGTGCCTTCTCCACCTTATTTAACCAATCTGAATACTCTGAGGAGAGATTAGGGCATGATCGAAAGATCCTGGTCCCTTTGTTCATAAATTGAAGGTTAATGTCCTCCGTAGTCTGAATATGTTGCTGGTTGGCCGGAGTTGCGTCCTCAGGATCATCCATAGGATTCTTTACGCAACCTATAGGTTTGAGTCTTGGATGGGTAGAGAAGAAGGCACGGTTCTTCATAAGATTCTCGACGCATGTGGACAAATGACCAGACATAGCGTATATGTCTTTAGAGTACCTAATGGGAATGAGGAGTTGGGAATCATATGCTTCTCTCCTTTCCCTTGTCATGGGTTCAGAAATGAACCATAGCCCATCAGTCGAGGAAGGAGAAGGGTTGGTAGGAAAGATCTCTGGTTGGCTTTGGATATCGTCAGCATTTTTAGGTTTGGGATTGTTTGGTGCATTAGAAAGGAAAGCCATTTTTGCAGATTTGAAAGAAGCGAAGTTGACAATGCAAGGTGTTTTAAGCAGAAGACTTGGAAATACTTAGAGTTGTGAAAGTTCCAAATGAAAAGGCTCAAGAGTATTTATAGTCTTCAGAAAGGGATATGTCTCGTCAAAGCCATTTAATGCTATGAAGATAGTGGGGCACGTGGCGAAGCATGAAGCGGTTATCGTGTAGATGATGGGAAACGTTTTGACATACTTGCCTAGGTTGTAGGAATATGGTCATCATGGCAGCATGGTAACGGCAGTTGGAAAAGACATATTGGAGAAAGAGTAATGATGGGTTTTCGAAAGCAGCAGCTGTTGGAAGACGAAAAGTGCACGTCAAGCCTTTGTGGACAGCAAGAGAGACAGATGTCGAACGGAAAGATCAAAGAATGGCTATTTCTTTGGGCGTCGAAATAGACATTCTTGGGGGGGCAATTTGTTGGCTCCTGAATTCGACACCTACTATATTTGGTCTTTTATACCAAAACTGGAATAAATAAAGCCAAGCTGAAGAATGTTTCGACGTGTGAAATGACATAGAAAAAAATATAAGTTATATTTGAGTCTTCGACCAGGGCTCACTTTCAAGATTTCGACTGAGAAGGTCTTATAACCTTCGACTAGAAGAGAATATCCTCGCGTCGACATAAAAGGTGAGGGACATTTGAATTTGAATTATTGGAGGGAAAGACAGTTTCACCAGTGGCTAAAGAGAAGCAACGTGGCTGGAAGCTAGAGGTCGAGGGACATGCAAAGGACACTTGTCCTCATCTTAGCGCAGAACCACCCTTCGACGGTTACATAGTTTTTAGTATAAATTAGGAAATCTGTGTAGTTTTTCAGGGTGTTCAACCTATTGTGCTAGTTACTCAAATATTGTCCAAGTACCCGCTGTGTGAGAAAGGATAAACTGAGAAATGTACGTTGGAAACACCTCTTTTCATTAATAAAAGTCTTTTACATTGCTTTAATCTTATTCTGCAAAGTTACTTTTCCTGCACCTTTACCTGCATTTTTACATCTCTATTTACTTTCTTACTTTCCAAAACCACAAGTATCTTGTCTTTGGTCGAACGTGCGTTCTTCTTGGATTTCTTTTCTTACTCACATCAACCCGGTATAAAAATTAGCATATGTTATGGGATCAATCTGATCGATCCCTCGAGTAACCAAAAGGACTTTCCTTTTTGGAGGATCATCGGTTGTTTACCAAAAACCACAGTAAACAAATAACAAGTTTTGGGATATTGGAAATGGTGCAAATATTCTTTTTTTTTTGTGATAAGTGGTTGGATGAGAAGACAAGATTGTGAGATGTGGTTGACACGATGCTTGGGAATATTAGTACTTAGAGACCATGTGATCTCAACACTAACGAGAGCAAGTGGAATTTAGAGTTGATTTGTAATGCGCTTCCGAACAATGTTGTTCAACACATTAAATTTATACTTCCTCCCTAGTATGCACAATTGGAGTGATGTTTGTCTTTGGCGAAAAGAGAGGTTGGAAAGACTTGTTGTTGCAGAAGCATGTCATTTATTAGTAGGACGTCACTTAAATGAAAATGTCTCAAATTGAAAAAGAATTTTAAAGTTGGATGTAATAAAGCGAGTGAGAGTTTTTGTGTGGCGAGTTTTACACGATAGGATTTGGTAGATGGCTAAGTAGCATTTGAAAGAATCTTATGTTAGAAAAATCATTTTCAATCAAATGGTTCGAGACTAAATCATGAATGAAATCACTTTCCTTATAAATATTTCAAGCACTTTCTTTATTGTCTTAGAGTTGGAACGCAAGAATATCCAGGATAATTCAACCTTTGAATCGAATATGCACAAGACTGGTGAAGAACTCGAATGCAAGGAAATGTGTCTGGAATATCGAAGAGGATGTAATATTTTTTGAGTGAATGATTTTCGAATTCAGAATTATGTATTTATAAGTCATGCATGTGTTGTTTCATAAGTTTGTAACTCTTGATGAAACAACATCTTTTCAGTAAATGTTTGCAATGGTTCACCTATAATAATACAATGCACCACTTCATGAAATATTGTGTATTTTGAATTCGAAATTCAAATCTTCAGTAGCTCGAGACAAATTTAAATGCAACTTCTACTGATGGGTGTTAAGTGCAAAAACTGACTAAAATTTCTTTCAGACAAATTTAAGGTAACTTTTACTAGTGAATATTTAGTGCAAAAACTGACCAAAATTTCCTTCAAATAGATTTGAAGACAATTTCACTTTTGTCTATAGGACATTTTTAATCTTTTTAACTTTATCATATTTAAACTCACCCACGAGAATAAATTATCGATTGATTTTCAACATCTTACTACACCATTATAATCGATACGAGGAAACAACAATGTATGTCCCCAAAGATTTTCAACTACATATAGAGATTTGGACTCATTTGATAGATATTGATAATCTTAGAAGATTTATAATACAAAAATGGATTGAGTTTAATGTAACTCAATAAATTGGTCAAAATAGTAATAATAAGTGGATAAATATTTGAGCTACTATTTATTACTCCCTCCTAAAATAATTATCACATTTAAGAAAAAAATTTGTTTTAAAATATTTATCATTTTAGATTATTGAATGCAATAAATATTTTTAATTTATTGTTTTATCATTTAATATTAATATTAATTTGAATATATCAATAGTTAATCAGGATAATTTAATAAAATTATTATTATTTTATTTATTTATTACTGTTTTTTAATCTGTGTGAAATAGTTAATTGCGATAAATAATATGAGCGGGAAGAAGTATTGAATTGAGAGTGGCTAAATAAACAAATGCAAATAAAAATTATAAAAGTATATGTGGAAACCTTGGTGTTTTATCCTCAACCAAGTTAAATGATATGGTAATCCAAAATACATGCAAAGGATGAATCAAACACTTATAAACAAATAATTAATGTAAGTGTTGGTCTTATCATATGCACGGGGTGAATGTGTTTGGAAATTAATGATGCTCATGGATAAACCGGTTGCATGTTGGGGGCCTTGTTGTATAAAAAAGATATTCATATTTTTTTTGACAAAAAGATTAATATCACAGTTTTAATTTTTTTTTGGTAGCATCATTTAGCATTATTAAAACTAATTTAAGAACTAATAATAATTAAAAATATATACATTTTAGGAATTAAAATTCTTGCATAGGTGTTGATGATGATTCCATAACCAATGCAATGGTGTGTAGTGTTCTATTGTTAATCTCTTCTCTCATCAACCGAAAAATGAAAATCTAGAAACCCTAGAAAACGCAATATTCGTCAATCACTCAACAACATGATGAGGAAGAAAGTTCCCGATTGGCTTAACAGCTCTCTCTGGTCAGTCCCCAAATCTCATACCTCCTCCGTCGCCACCGAAGAAAACTCACCCCTCTACAGCCCAATTTCACAGCCGCGACCTCCGTCGCCTCCCGTCGTAGTTCAAGATCCTCCGCCTGAGCAGATAATCGACGATTCTCGATCCGAAGATCAACACGATGCGGTTCCTTCTGATTTCGATGTCTCTCACCAGGCTCAATTGTTGACTGAGGTAGTTTCCGCTCTCCGTTTGAACTTTAACTAGTGATTTAGCGATTTTTGTTCACCGTCGTTTTGAATTTTTTTTTTTTTTTGGAATGGTTTGGTTCAGTTGTCGAGGAAGGTGATGGATATGCGAGAATTGAGAAGGATCGCGTGTCAAGGTGTGCCTGATTCCGCTGGGATACGTTCTACATTGTGGAAGGTGACACTTCTCTTTCAATCAGTTTCTTTCTATAAGTTTAATGATGCTTTCCAAATAGGGATTTAGTTTGGGTGCTTTTTGTTAGTGCTTTCCAAATACGTTCTACTATTGCAACTTATGCTTATTGATGTTTGCAGCTTTTGCTTGGATATCTTCCGCCGGATCGCGGGCTTTGGTCATCTGAATTAGCAAAGAAGAGGTCCCAGTACAAACAGTTCAAAGACGAGATTCTCATGAATCCTGTAAGTTAGTTGCCTAGGAAGAACTGACATCTTCACGTTATTGTCAAATAATGAAAGATTTCTTAATTGTGATTGGTTGAACTAATAGCTGTAGAATCAAGTTGCATTTCTCTTCACATCACCTGTAATGATTTTTTTATTTTTAACTTTTGACTAGGGTAAGAGAGATAATTCTAAGGAGTTCATTATCGAGTTGATTTTTGAATTTGATCCAATTTTAAATCGGCAGAGTGCATGCTTGTCTAAGTGCAAACTTGATAAACTTGGTGATTTTTAATGCATGTTGTTCTATTTGCTTTATCTTTTTGGCTCTGAATGTTTATGTCGCTAGCTAGTCCGAAATCACAAGGAGGATGTACAACTCCACAAGTGGTGATGCTGAGGATGCCGCCAAACGTGACAGGGCCTTGCTCTCTAGATCAGAAATCCCTCACGATGAGCATCCTTTGAGTCTTGGGAAGACCAGCGTATGGAATCAGTTCTTCCAGGTACAATGCAAATGAATCTTTTTAATTAGATTTTTAAATTTTTCTATATGAAGTTTCTGATCACGTTGAACTATCAACTATGTTGTATATAAAATCGTCGAATGACACATCAGTCCATGATACTTATCAGTGTTACTTAAATTGGGGACAAGTTAATTACTTGTGACAGACGGAAACTGTTTTATGTGAAATCGAAATTTCCCCTGTCTGCACAAAAAATGAATTACTAGAACACATTTGTTATATCTGTAATGTTAATTACTTGTTTTTCTACTCTATCTCTGATAATTTTTCCATTATATTGTTTGACACAGAGACCTTTGCAAATTTCTTACAACATATATTGCTAATAATCTTGCTACTCGTTAATCGTTACTTTTTTTGAATTCTGATTATATCACAACTATATACATTTTATGATGCTTATGTACTATAATACTCTGGTAAAGTAAATGATCCTATTTGCATTTTGTAGGATACAGAAATCATAGATCAGATTGACCGAGATGTAAAGCGCACTCATCCCGATTTCCACTTTTTCTCCGGTGATTCAAAATTCGCAAAATCTAATCAGGTTGTTCCTTTATTTTTGTAGAAATTGGTAAATCTCCATAATTCAAGTTTTTTCCGGCACCAACTCATGATTTTCTTCCGACATTTTCAGGAGGCTCTAAAGAACATATTAATTATTTTTGCAAAGTTAAATCCCGGTGTAAAATATGTTCAAGGGATGAATGAGATATTGGCGCCTCTATTCTATGTGTTAAAAAATGACCCTGATGAAGAAAATGCAGTGAGTATATTATATTTTTTTGACTTCTTGTAATCTCTTAGTTTTCTAGTATATATATAATCCATCACAAAGCATATGACTGTGATGTTGACTTCCTTTTTCAACATTCAATTAATTATGTTTTGTTGTGTAAAATCTTATTGCCTACATAGTGGGATGAGACTTGGTTTTGTTGTTGTGTAAAATCTTATTACCTACTTAATGAAATAAGACTTGGTTGTTGATGTTGATGTTGTTGTGTAAATTCCTATTAATTTAAATTTCATATTTTGCTAGGAACCTTTATTTTTTACTATAATTTGTGTAACATTGATTTTGCAAATTCTGTTTAAAAAGTGCTTACCCATGATAAGCTGATCATTTTTCTTTTCTTAATCTTTTAATCAGAACCACTGTGTCCATATCTGTCATTCTTTACTTTTTCCACAAATCACATGTACATTTTCATGCTTTTTTCCCCTCGTTTTACTGAATGATATTTCCAAGTGTATGCATAAATTAAAGGGGAAGCCATAATAGGGGTAGAGATGAGATGACAAATCAAAATTTAGGTGTGATCAGTTTAAAAGGTATCATTACTCACGGGAATTCAGACAAGAAATCTTGCTGTGATGTATGATCATGGGAATGTTTGTTGTGTTAGAAAATAAATTCATAGATAGTAATAACGAGTCATGTCTGTCATGTAGATTTATGCTACATTTATGTTCTCTTTTATTATTGGTTGATTGTGCTTAACAGCTCCCTAATACAATATGCAGGCTTTTGCTGAAGCTGATGCATTCTTTTGTTTTGTTGAGCTATTGAGTGGGTTCCGAGATAACTTTGTCCAACAACTAGACAATAGTGTTGTAGGAATTCGTTCAACTATTACAAAATTGTCCCAGCTTTTAAGAAAACACGACGAGGAGCTGTGGCGTCATCTTGAGATCACTTCCAAAGTAAGAGTTTTTAAGATATATTGTGTATAGTAACAGTTTTGCTTTTAGTATACATTTAGAAATATATTGAGTAGGCTGTGCTTATATTTTGAACTATTATGGCTCTTGATATTGCAGTTGGCTATTTAATTTTGGTTTTCATTTTATGGTATCTACTGTTATGCAATTGTTTGTGGACTTTGTTCACTTCTCTGTTATATTAAATTTGTTAAATAAACTAAATATGTAATATAAAAAAAGTGGGTTCTTTCCTGCTTCATTGCTTTAGTGATATTATTACCCTCTGTGATCTTGTGTTACCAATGTTATTTTGACCATTATGTTAATACCTTTTTTGCATGCTTGTATAATTATTCAGCCATGTATTTTCTTTTGGCTATTAAGCAGTATCAGAAATGGCTCATTTTTCTTCTGAATATCAGGTCAATCCCCAATTTTATGCATTTAGATGGATCACTCTCTTGTTGACTCAGGAGTTCAATTTTGCCGATAGCCTTCACATTTGGGACACTCTTTTAGGTGATCCAGAAGGTCCACAGGTACAATCTTGTTCTGATTTACCTTTTGTTTTAATGGAATGGCATGTAGCACTTTTGCCGTATCCCACTTCTTTGATGACAATAATACTTCAGATTGGTTTTGAAGTTGTGAGTTTAATTGTAGGAGCAAAGAAGTTTTTGGTCATACTGATGTTGATTTTTCATTTGTGTTTTACTTTGCGTTTTTACTATTAATCAATCCACTTAAGAAGATCTTGATTGTTTAGGAAAGATGAAGATTATGGTCATATTATTGGAACAGTAAAACAAATGTTTTGTTCTCCCTTTTGTGCATGAGTGCTTGAGAGTGTACCTTATGTCGCTAGTTTTCATTGACTATTGCTCGCTACTTGAAATTCCTGTTGCTTCTCCAGCTGTATATAGAACTGATGATAGTATTCCAGGAAGTCTATGAGTTTGGGTAATGTGTTTATTTTTTTGGCCTTGAGCACCTTTTAAAAACTGACGCAATATTCTGTAGGAGACTCTTCTCCGGGTATGTTGTGCAATGCTAGTTCTCATTCGCAAGCGCCTCCTAGCAGGGGATTTCACTTCAAATCTCAAGTTGCTACAAAATTATCCGTCGACAAACATTAGCCATTTGCTCTATGTTGCTAATAAGTTTCGTGTACAGTCAGTCTAATGGTTCTTGCCCCCCACCCGGATTTTTTGCATTTTGCTTTTGCATCTCTAATTTAGTGTTTGAAATTCAATGCTTGTAAATGAATCTAAATTTGAGGGTACATTAACTATTTATTTTTCTAGTACTTTTTAGTTCTCTTCTTCCTATCTGGCAATTCATGCCTGGTGAGTATAGCCTACTTTCATCTCTCCCCACTCTTATAAACTTATAAGTTATAAGAATAATAGTTTGTGAGACAATAAATCAAATTATGATGTGAAATTATTAAAAAGTTGTGTTGAAGTATATGTATTATATGTTACAGTACTTTGTAACAGTGGAAAAAGAAACAGAAATTGACAAGGGCTCCTTGTGAATGCCTCTCCATGTTCTGCAAATACAGCACCTCCTATGCGCACGCTCACAAGGGAAGTGAGTGTAGGAAGTAGTTAGGAGAAGATGGGCGGTGGCGGTTGAAGGGTTCAATTGAATCCCTGTTTTTTTTTAAGGCTTAAATGTAGTTTTGGTCTTTCTATATTGATTTTTCTAATTTTTTAGTACTCCTTTAAAAATAAAATCAGCTATTTGGTCTTCTATTGAATATTTTTTGAATTTTTATTGGTCCTCCATCATATTTGTATAGATGGCAGTGATGTGGCAATTCCATTTTCCGCCACATCACACATTTTTGCCATGTCATATTAAAAAACTAATTAATTTTAAAATATTATTTAATGTAATTAATAAATTGAATATTATTTATTAATAGTTGCCACATGTCAATAGATAATTAGGCAATCAATAGTTGCTGTGAGCTTCGACCCATGCTCTTAAGAAAAGTAATAATGCCTTTTGCCTTCATAACCACATTAGAATCATACATATTGTAATAGATCAATTTTTTGTAATAGATCAATTTTTATTTAATCCTTAATGTTCAAGCTGCCTTTTGCCACTGGTCAAACCCAGACGATTAGCAAAGAAAAATATATAAAAAGTAGCTAATAAATTTAACTTCAGTTAATAAAGACAACAATTTTGTTTAACTTTTTATGTAAAAATCATTTAAATACGTTTTACCCCTCTGAATTTTTCCATGCACTTGTCTCCTTTTATTTGAATTAAACTACAGTTTGAACTTAAGTAAATATTACCGTCATTGATTTGAGAATTGATAGTTGAAATTAAATAATTTCATTATTTACCATACATGTTCATGATAGTAAAATAAAAAATAGATTTGGGCTAGTGCTTCTTAAAATCATCTCCAATACATATTGCTTAGTGGCTTCATGGAGGTATTAGTTATGTTGCTTAGAACTTGGGAGTGAATGGAATGATGCAGTAGAAGAAGTATGAAGGAAGCAACTAAACAGGAATTCACTTTGCAAACACAAATTACGAGATGGGATCCTCTCCAATTTATTGTCTCATGCTGCTTCCCTTTATAAGGAACCCATGCTATATAAAAATTGATGTATTAAAATAACACGAATCTAATAGGGTTTGGATGGCAGAAGGCATTGTTATTTTCTTCAAGAGCATGGCTTAGAAACCCATTGGTGGCAAACAATGTGTGATGTGGCGGAAAATGGAATTGCCACATCCCTGCCAAAATTCAAAAAATATTCAATAAAAGAATTAATTAGTTTATTTTTTTTAAAGAGATGCTAAAAATTTAGAAAAATCAATATAGGAGTTTTTAAAGAGATATTAAAAATTTTAAAAAATTAATATAGAAAGATCAAAACTGCATTTAAATCATTTTTTAAATGGACCAACATTCTTATATTATTTGCTTTTTTACCCTCTCAAAAAATGATTTTGCACCATTAATTCAAAAAATTTAATAAATTTTGTTTTTCACTCATTTTTAGATTTCATACTCTCTTCACCCTTTTTTTATTTAAATTATGATATTTATTTATTCTATCAAGAAATTTGAATTTAGAGGTATATTATTCATAATTATTTAATTGATAAATAATATTTAATTATTCATTTTCATACTCTCTTCAACTTTTTTTTAAATTATAATATTTATTTATTCTATCAAGAAATTTGAATTTAGAGGTATATTATTCATAATTATTTAATTGATAAATAATATTTAATTATTCATAGTCATTAGAGTATGTTGTATTTTTTAATCAACTCTAAAATTTATTCTGTTTAAGAGAGTTGAAATTTTATTTGCCGCATAAATAATAGATCAAAAAAGCTTTTTTATTTAATTTTCCTTTGGTCTGAAAGTCGAATTTTAAAAGGAAAAAAAATCGTGTGTTTTATACTAATGATAAACTTAAATATTAATTAAAAATTATTAAAAATTACTTATGAATTTAAAATTCACTTAAATATACATTGTTATTTAAATCATTAAAAAGTTATTTTTAAGGAGACTTAAATTTAGTTACTGTTTTGGTCTGGTCAAATGATTAGGTAAGGTCTAATTCACTTTTATATTTAAGATGATCTAACAATTTTGACCCAATCAATTGAAGTAGATACAAGACACCTTTCTCCTATGTCCCTCAATCGGGGACACGTGGGCGGTTGTCCTCCCAAGACCAACGCGATCACCGCTGCCCTCGGCAACACCTCTTCCTGCAGTTTCTTCTGCCCTTCAACCCGAAATACGTGGTCGGTTGTCCCCTAGGACCAACATGACCACCGGTGCCCTCCGCAGCACCTCTGCCTGCATCTGCTTCTGCCCTCAACCGAGAATACATGGCCGATTGTCACCTCCAGGACCAACATGCCACTGCTGCCCTCGACAGCACCTTTACCCGCAATTGCTTTTGTCTCTCAATCGGAGACACGTGGTCAGTTGTCCTCCAGGACCAACGTGACCACCGCTGCTCTCGACAACACCTCTGTCTACAATTGCTTCTGCCCCTCGGTCAGAGACACATGGTCTGTTGTCCTCCCAAGACCAACAAGGCCATATATTCCCTCTCAAACAAACTAGTCCTCATCCTGCCAATCACACGAGGACAACCACCCAAAAATGGCCAGAATCATGTTCGTCTGTGAGCACCTCTGCTCGTCATAACAACCAGCTTCCTCCCATGTCAGCTCGACACACGTAGAGCAGACACCCAGGAAATGCTCATAAACGCTTATGTTCATCATCTCATCCTTGCTCGGTGCAACGACTAGTTACGGGCACGACTGTCCATTTTGACCAAGTCCTGACAATTACCTATTTTTAAGGACCCACATATCTAGGCTCAAAAATAGAGACCAATGGCCAAGCGTCTGGGACGTTATATAAATCCTCACACATCTGAGAGTCAGATATCCAATATTCATCACTAAAACCTTAATTCCTTTGTTGTACCCCAAAATTTTCCCTCTCATTTCATCAACATTTATCATCACAAGACTTTTGGAACTCAGGATCAAGCTAGGGTTTGCTCTGCTCAAGACACCTTCTTGCATTGTTGGCCTAAATTAGGGTTTGAGTTTGCACAGTGATGTTTTGACCTACAATGCCCAAATTGACTTTCATACTTCATATTGGACTCACAAGTTTGTCCATACCAAGTTTCAAGCCTTGATTCAAATTTTTGCCCAGTCAATTGGACAGTTGACCTAGAAATCAGTTGTATTATGGAAAAAGTCAACTGTGGCCAATTGACAGTCAAACCTCATGAATTTTGACCCACATCAACATTATGAACTCATATGAACCATTTGATCAAGTTTGGATCATAATTCACAAGAAATTTGATCAGATCATCAAAAGGGCAAAATGGTCATTTTTAGGGTTTTGATTGTACAAAGGCAATTTTTGACTGTTTGACCTAACCAATGGCAAATAAAGCTCAATCACGGACTCAAGAACTCAATGACATTATCTTGATCCATTCAACAAGTTCAAAAGATTTCAAATGCACAGGATTGACAGATGAATTTTTTTCAGTCAACTGATCAAAATTTGACTGTACACTAAAAAGTCAAACTTTGACTTTTTGGTCAAAATCAAGTGCCAAGGGTCATTTTTCATAAATACATGTCAAATTATGAAACTTGTTCATCAAGAAATCCAAAAATGCAAATTAGGGTTTAAAATGGAAAATTTTCATAACAGATTTTTTCTAAGTTATAAAATTTTCTTATTTTTTCCTAACATTGTCCCATTTTTTCACCAAGATTCAAATGGATTCAAACAAAACTTGCAACATGAAAGTTGTAGTCCATCACAAAGTCTACGACTTTGATTCACAAAGTTTTCTCAAAAGAAGCTTGTATCTCAAGTTATGATTTTTGGAACAAGGGTACCTAAAACTTTTAACTTAGAAAAATTTTGCCCTAGTTTAGGCAGGATTTTGACCCATCTTCTTGGCCATTTTTCACATAGTTCCACTTGGGTTTTCAAGTTGCATTTCAAAGATGGATTATAGTACATGTTGCAAGCTTTCCAAATTATCCAAGAACTCCTCAAACACCTTTGTGGTTAGGGAGAATCGAATGCTTGAAGTTGGCAAAAACTCACTTTGATTCATGGCCAATACATGTTCATACCAAGTTGCAAATCTGACCAAGATAGCTTAGTACATGATTACAAGCCTCTAAACCAATTTAAACTCCAAAATTGAAGGTAAATATATTGGATATTGGCATTGTTCTGATCAAGAGAGCTTTGTACAATGAACATTGCCATTTTAAGCATAAAGGCCACACTTCCATTTTCATAAAGGGCACTTTATGTCAAATTGATTTTTCTTGAGCCTTGGACTTTCTTCCTTTGCAGAAAACAAGCTCCACAATCTCAGGCATAGTACAAGAAGTTGGTGCATGCTTGGAGATAGCCTGTACAGGCCTATCACACTTCACTTCCAACTTTGCTTTCAAAACAAGTCAAAGGGCCAAAAGCTTGTATCTCTCATATCTGATAAAACCAACAAGAACAAGGTTGTCAAACAAGTTTTGCATATCCTCACAAGTCAGAAGCACGAGCCCTTGGCCCCCTAAACCTCCTTGTACACAAAATCACCATTTTTTTGCAAAACAGG